TTGTGGCATTCCTGCTGAGTTCTACCCCGATTATCCTTATCAATGAGAGACAGACTGATGTAGGAAGATAAGGCTCTTACCAGCTTTTGAGCCAGGCACAGGGCCTTTATGAGGACAAATGTTTCCCTGCAATTCAGACATCCCTGTGGAGCCTATTAGAAGGTCAGAGATTCTGTAAGATAAATGGATCTGGAGACCAAATGGCAGCATATTGTCTTGGGTTTGAATAGTTTCCTGCTCAAGGAATGCTGATGAAAACATCCTGTTGGCACCGTTGGACAGTATTGTATAATGGTAATACACAACTGTCAGGCTCGCAGTGTGTTCATAACCACATACATATAAAGTGTGGTGAACATCTTTCTGCCTTTTAAAACAACAATGTTTTGAGCTTGGTTACCTGTTGTTTTCGCTCCCTGTCCCCGCAGGTTGACAGGATCGGTTCCTTAGTTATATGACGTATGAATCCTTGGATCTGTTTTTATGAGACTGTCATTGGTTCACTGCAGCTCCAAGGTGTAAATTCTCAATCATTTCACTCATCTGCCTGTTTCACTCACGATATGTCTTGTATTATATAAGAACCACCATATAGATCTTAATAAGGTTAAACACTTGATTTTCATCTGAGATTTTCATGTTTGAAGCTGCAGCTCCCTATAAACAACTCACAACTCACAGATACATCAAGCACAGTTATACAGTGTCACTGTCGACATTTGTCAGTACACTAATATAATTCAAAAGTTTATGAATAAAGTTTCACCTGGTGAAACATGTTTCTAGAAATAAGCGACTGTATCCTCAGTTAACACCCTGTTCTAAAGATGGATTTAAATAATGTGACACTTGTGTGACTTGATTGTAAGAATGACTTCCTAAGATGGATATTTCTTCCAGCACATTGGTCCCTATCAGGCTTAATTTACTGTTATAAGTTATAAGTGAGCTCATGATTCCACATGGATCCATTCCCCCCTCATGTCCTAATCTATAACCCTGGTATCCCCCTGTCAGTGCCTGTTATCAGCCTTTATTGCACCACTGATACCCCATTCAAAGGGCGCATTAGCATATCGCCCGTGAAGTGATGTCTATAGGGCCCGAGCGATTTGGATCATAAAGCATAAATGTGCTGCTGTAGTGTAATGCACGACCCACAGGCCTGCTGCTGCAGAGAGAGTCCGAGTGAAGAGACAGAGAAAACAAAGTTAATGGGTGACAAACCTCAGTAATGCTCTGCTGCTATAGGGCACTGCCTCCATTAACTATAGCCCGGTGAAAACCATCCTACCGAGCAGAATGTCTCCTGCATCTGGCCTCTCTGTGGTAATGAGGCAGCACCAAGGTGTCGTCTATCTGGTTTTATGTACGCATGCTTAGAGAAAATGGTTTTCCTGTTCCACATTTAAGCTGTTTGTAGTGAGCAGAGCTAAATAGATGAAAACAAGGGATAAGACTAGATGAGACACATAGAAATTGTATTGGGGCAACTCCTGTGAAGATACTGACACATTTCAGGTTTTCATTTACTCAATAAAACATTATGGTGAGGAAGACATTCAGTCACAATGACTAAAACCTATTTTATGTAAAGACAGCACTGATGCAGAAGTCCAGGTGAGTAGGTGATACCAATAAATACCTATATCATCAGTATAGTCATTTCCAGCCCAAATGCAGATAAAAAAAAATTGGAATTAAACCTCGGCAAATGTTATCCAGAAGGTCACCACGCTCAACATGGAACCGAAAAAAAAAAAAAAACAGTAAAACTTTTTGGTACCTAGTAAAGGGGTCAGTGGTTCCATTTCCGGCTCCTCCAGTCCACACTTCTTGTCCTTTTGCAAGATATTGATTACTTGAATGTGCGTGTATGGTAGAAAAAGCACTATATAGGTGTATGGAAAAGCGCTGTATAAATGTGTGTGTGAAGGGGTGACACTGGCTTTCATTGTAAAGCGCTCTGAGTGGTCGAGAGAATATAAAACGCTATATAAGTGCAGTCCATTTACCATTTACCTAGAACGTGCTTTGCTTCTGAGCCCAGCTGAGCTGTGATGTTTCACTCTAAAGAGTGAATGTACAAGCATGAAAAACATGGATATTCAGCTCCCTGTGTACTGAACATGTGCGTTTTTTGATTCCTGCAAGGGCAAGTCTGAATTGTTTTAGATTGTTTGTGAAGATTTGGGCTATTTTTGTCCCATTTAGGAAAGGTTACAGCTACATTCAAATAAACTGGCCCATCCTCTCCTTTGAGTACTGTGATTGAGACGGAGGACAGTGAGTTGAATAGACTGATAACTAACAGCTGACCCACATGTTGTTTAATTTATTACAGCCATGCTGAAAACCTATTCAATCTGCGGCATCAGTCAGCGGGGATGGTTTGCAGCTCTACATATTGTGTTGGGCTGATAAGACAGGTATCTTAAATCAATGTTTCGGCTGGTGCAGCGTTGAACTGCTCGTGCACTGTCAGGCAGGATGTCGTTCTCTTTTAACTTTGGGTGTTTGCTAGAAAAAGCACATTACACAAATCAGCCCATGTATTTATCAGGAACTTGAGTTTCACATGAACCGTTGAGTCTGGTTTGGTTCTGGAGCCTCAGTAAACAGCTCCATCCAGTATAAATAGCAGAGCCTTTGGTCTGTTGCCACTGCGGCTGAGCGCAGCGGCAGGGAGGAACAGCTGTAGTCGCTCTGTCGCCGAGACCGGATCACTCCTCAGCCGTCCTGCCAGTCTTGTCCGTGCCGTCTAACATAAGCAACACTTGAGGACCCAGACTCTGTTTGAGGGCCTGGCTGTAATTTCAACCCACAACCTGCAGCCATTTACTTCCTGCGTGTGTGCGTGTGTGCGTGCGTGCGTGCGTGCGTGCGTGTGTTTACTTGCGCAGATTTTTACTGTATACGGTGAGGTGCAGGTGTGATGTCGTGTGTGTAGTCATTTTACTTTATCTCATTAAAGCTGCACTGATCAATATATTTATATTGACATTTGATGAAATGAGTATATATTATGAAAGGTGTTTCTCATAGTAACAAACCCACAGAGAATAACCACCCAACTCTGCAGGTCCCTCAGCTCTGCAGAGAGTATTAGTGTCTTTCAGTTCATTGTTATGGTTTTACAGCTCAGAACTTTATTGTTTTGGTTCAGTCTCTTACCAACCAGCTGTTTCCAGCTGTTTCCAGTAAAGAAACAACTGAAAAACCCACTGTACATCACCCGCCCAGCACCGAACGGCATGCAGACAAAATTAGCAACTAGCTAAAACAAACGAATGACTTCAGCTTTAATTATGCTATTTTATTTGTAATTGTTTCAAAATGACTTTTTTGTGATGAAATAACTGGATTTTGACTTTACACGTCATTGTACAGTATATTCTCATTAAAAAGCCATAATCAAATATCCTGTATTTGAACATGTAAAATGTATGATATATTCTTTATATATGAACATACAACCCCATACTCACATGTTATATATCTACATATATTGATTTTCCATAAATGAAACATATGTGATATAAAATAAAAATGTGTAAAAGATATATATGAAACCTATTAGACATTGAAACAACTTCATATATTGACTTATACAGTATGTCTAGCCAAGTATATATGCTTATACTGTAGTCATATGTTACATAAATATATATCTGTCCCAAAGCCTGTCAATATATTTTGATATTATAAACAGTGGGGTCCAAAAGTCTGAGCCCACTTTCCCAGAAAAAGAAGATAAGAAATGTTTGAAATGAACGAGAAATCAATAATAAAAACATATATAAGCATATAGAAATGTTATATGTATGTTGTTTGAATTAACTTACATATATAAATTTAATATTTTGATATGTACTATGGGTATTTTATATATGTTATAAACTTATATCTTCATATCCAGAGGATGTGTATATATATAATGATAATAACATATCATCTTACAGGTGACATATATGGCAACATCACTTGTGATATAGGGACATATACAGTATGTCATATATTACATCTCTGTATGAGATGTGTAATATGTCTTGATTATAGCTGCTTTTATATGGATTTCATGAAGGATTACACTGTGGTACTAATCTGCACTGAAACATAAACGTGTATAGAACTAAACTGGCAAATACTACAAGTGCAGTACAGTCTGAAATCTGTACCGAAAAAACATTTAATAATTCACTGTTTTACTTTTTCATACTGTGTGAGCCAGATACATTTTGAAGTGTAGGAATTGAGATTTTCAGTGTAGAATTTTTAAATATAAATAAAGCAGGTAATAATAACTTTTAGCAGCTCTCCACATCTCAGACAGCTGACTGATCAAACCTGTAAAATAGCAGCATGTTCCTGTGAGACAACACTTTGTCACATGAAAGTAAATGAGTGGAATCTGAAACACGCACATTAATAGGTAGAACTGACTGCAGTCTGAGTCAATTTCCTGTGTTAATGTGAAATGTAGACTGGTTTAAAGGCAGCCTCCAGGTGTCTGATGGGTCACTTGGCCCTGATCCCAGAACAGTTTATAAAGGAAGGATTAGGCTGTGTTAATTGGATAGATGGTCCAAAAAGATTAGGTGCACTGAGCAGCATTTCCTCACCCCTTCAGCCTCAGTAAATAATGAAGCCCTTGACTGTAAAAACAAGACCTAGGTACAGTGTGTTAATGTGCTGACAGAGCTGTGGGTCCAGGAGGAGCCAGTGTGGTGGAGATGTTTGACCTGAGCACAGTCAGGTCAAACAGGAAGATGAGTCTTTTAAAACTTTAAATGAAAAAACATCCTCTGACTGACGGATGTTGGTGTGATGAGAGCAGGATAAAGGGTTCACCTGTGTTTCCTGGGTAACATTTCATAAATCGTCAGCAGTGGAGGATTTTGTGTAAATGTACTTAAATCCGAACTGAAAGTCAGTTTACATTCTTAAAAAACAAACATGCTTATCTGATGGTTTCTATTTCCATGTGTGTCTTGCTGCAGGTCCTTCAAGCCAGACTTTGTCCTGATTCGCCAGCACGCCTACAGCATGATCCCCGGCGAGGACTTCAGGAACCTTGTGATTGGCCTGCATTTTGGCGGCGTCCCGAGCATCAACTCTCTCTTCTCCATCTACAACTTCTGCAGCAAACCTTGGGTGGTAAGCGATTTTTAACAGCTCTCTTTGCTCCACTTTAACCCACACGAAAGTGATGTGAGTCCCTCCCTCGGCGACTGCCTCCGGCTGATTTATTTGGGCTATTAAAGGGAGCTATAACACCTGTCTCTGGAGCCGGCGGAGCAGGCGGCCTCCACCACCACCACCACACATTATTACTCACGCTGTTGTGAGAAGAGAAAACAAGACACAAGACTGCAGTGAAGAGGTGTGAATGCTTGGCTCTGCAGGGGGTCAGAATGGTAGTCTTGTCTCCTACTGTGTGACGCTACATCCACACTAATATGTTTTAGTTTTAAAACACACCACTTTTGCTACGTTTACTCCCGGCGTCCACACTACTCAGAGTTTTCCTGCCTGTAAAACAGAGACTTTCACAAACTCTGCTGGACCCATTTTAGTTTGAAAACTCATGGAGACCTTTGGAAACGATGGCGTAGACACCTACAGTTACTCCCTGATTGGGTCTCATCAACCTCGACTACCAGTGGTGAATGCAACATGGATAATGAATTAGCATTACTGATGTTGTTGAAATTTCTGCAACTTACCAACTGCAGAGTAGACAGTCTGCTTCCTGTTCACACCGGCACAAGCATGCCCAGTGTATGTGAATGATCATGTAGCATGCGTTTTCAGGTGTTTTAGTATGGACGGAGTTTATTTCTGATAAGGAGCTAAAACACCCATCTGGTCAGAGATCGTTTCTGTCTTGAAATGCTGCTTGAATATGAAAACGTGTTAATGTGGACGTAGCCGAACGTGGACGAAATTTGAAGTATATTCTCCAAGAGACTAACAGATACATTTCCACCATGTGGTCAAAAAAATGCTCTTTTCTTTTCACTGGCTCTGTTAGTTATTTTTCAAAGCACACAATAAGTTTTCGTATGGTCAAATGTTCTTTTCCTGATGCCATCAGATTTTCTATTTATTCTGATCATAATGGCAGAGACTTGAAAGTTGCTAGAGATAGGTAATCATTCACTATATAATTACTGGTGCTTAATAACAATATAATAAATAATTGATACTGCGGAAACGGAGAAGGAGCCAACTTTGGATTTTAATGACATTATCTAGAACATTAACTACATGTTTCTTTTTATGTAATAATTTCTGCTTTGCAAATGTAAAATACAGTTAAACTGTGTTTGCTTGATGAGTATCGCCAGTTCATTTCTCTCTTATACAGTTACAGTTATTTATATGTTGTTTTGTGACTCTTGCCTTGCCAGCAGCCAGCCAGTCTTGTATTTTTGGATCTATGTAGTTATTAGTTTAGTATTTGTGATATAAAACATCAACAGTAAATGTCAGGATATGTTGTCAGTGCCATTTTGCACAGACATTGCACATTACATATGACCATTATAAAAGAGGTAGACACATTTCTGCACCCAGAATACAGTGCAGCTACAGCACAGGCTAATTTCCTGTTATGTTGACCCACAGCTGGTTCAAAACCACTGACCACAGCAGGTAAGGCCAGAAACAGGAAGAAAGGAAAGTTACAACACCTCAATATTAAATAACATCTAAAATTTATTGCTCCTGAGGATCTGAAAATAGATTTTTCCGAGTCAGAGTTGGTCTAACTGCACTGGGTCACATTTTATAAGCATCTGAGTGGGTCAGAAAAATAAGCCCATGCCATCCCAGTCCAGATGTTGACTTGCAGTGTGTCTCTGGTTGTAAATGTGCTGTGAACACAGGTGTATTCTGGGTAACCTCTCCTGTCCTCTGCTGCTGAATGACGTCTGACTGTCTTGTTTATTTCTGCCTGCAGTTTTCTCAGATGATTAAGCTCTACCACTCCCTCGGTGCTGAGAAATTCCCCCTGAATGAACAAACCTTCTATCCCAACCACACACAGATGGTGAGTGCCTCACAGATATTATTCTTCATTTAAACAGTGTGGGAACAAAATAACACACCCTCCTCTACACACACAAAAAAATCAGCACAGAATTACTGAAGCCCATTTTTCATTAAATCTTTATTATAAAAATATAAAACACAGAAATTAAGTCAAACATTTCTTTAACCCCTACAGGGAAATAAACCCCCCACCCACCCACCCTCACTTCAGGAATCAGTGTTTACACACAAACTGTACACAGCTTCCGTGATTGGAGTTTTTTTTAAGGATCAATCTTGACCAAGTGTTTCTGTGTTAAGGAGACAGTATATTTACACAAACATGAACCACAGAAATAGTGACACAGAAACGCCACAGTGGGATAAACAGCCTGAATAAGGAGCTGAATTCTGTAATGATGTTTTTTCCCTCAAAGATCAACGTTTTCCTTTTCTTTAGACCTTTTTATAAAAATGATGATCAATCATCACTGTTATGTTTTATCCTCTCATGAACATTCAAACCAAAGATAAGGGGTTAATTTGATTCATTACGAAAAAGAGGCAGACAGGCTGGAAGTTAAATATTAAGATTCATTGAGGGACATTTTGTCAAAGTTCAGTGGCTGACTCACAAAATCAAAGATCAGATCATGTAATTTAATCAGATCATTTGACAGTCATTTATATTAACTTACCTTTAACTTAGACCAGTATAGGATTTTCATTTAGTATCAGATACAAGTCAATCGCTGTCTTCCTCCTCTGATATGATCTGACTTTCACAAGAAAGAGTGAATTGGACTTTTTTGTGAATTTTGAATGTGAATGAATTTATTTAACTCTTAAATGAATAGTTAGACATTTTGGGAAACGCTCGTATTCACTTTCTTGCCAAGAGTTAGATGAAGAGATTGATACGACCCTCGTATGTGTTAGATACGGAGCTAAAGCCAGCAGCCGGCTAGCTTAGTTTAGCATAGACTGGAAACTAGGGGCAACAGGTAGCTTTGCTCTGTTCAAGGGGTAAATATCTGCCCTCCAGCACCTTTTAAGCTCACTAATGAATACATTCAGAAAAAACATGCAAAAATGTGTAAAAACAACTAGAAAAACAACAAGAAGTCAGTGCGCTAGCTTAGAAATAGTCCAGCACATAACCTCCTCTAGCATCTTAATTTGTCATTTTTACACTTTGGTATTTGTACAAATTAAATAAAAGAGACATAATGTGATAATTAGTGAGCTTTAGAGGTGCTAGTATGCAGATATTATTACCACTGAACAGAACTAGGCCACTGGTTTCCTGTGTATATTACCTTAGCTGTTAGCTAAGCTAACTGGCTGTAGCAGGAAAGCAAATAAGAATATTTCCCTAAATGTCAAACTACACTTTTGAAAACAACCAACATGGTCAAAGCCATGTGTTTGTTTACTAAATAGTTGCGTTAGCAATGCAGTGTTATTTTATGTGAGTGATGAAGGGGCTGTTACTCCTTCTGAGGCAAATCTGTGTCTGTTAATGGAATGGACTGAAGGTACGGCACAGGGAAAACATAAGGAACCCCCTCCCAGGTGGGTGCAGGTGAAGAAGAATGAATTTAGTGACAATATTGTTACTTTTCATATAATGTCCATTTCAAATAGTTAAATACAAAAAGACTGAATATACACTTACAAAATAAATCATTTTCTGAAACCTCTGCTTATACTGTACTTTCATTGGATTGGTGAAGAGTACCAGTCAGGGGAAATATAATCCAGCAAAAAAAAAGTACCATAATATATAACTTGCAGATGCTGGTCCTTCATTCTGGACAATTGCACAGGCTGCAATGGTTGTCACAATGTAGTTTTGGCCTGTCATTATATATATTTTTTGCAGATATACCACATGGTTAATGCGTAACCCATTTAACATATAAATAAATGTATTACAGAGGTTTCAGCTGAGTTGATAGTTCATTTCTGTAGCTTACATATATATACAGCAAACGATAAAATATCACCATCTCTGAAGGAAATTAGCTCTTCCCTGTGTTGTCACTGTAACAGACAGATGCTGATATACATCAGTGTTCAACAGAAAGAGTCCTGTTTGTGATGTAACTGCAAAATACGTTACACCACAAACACTCAGGAAAGCAGACACTACCATCCGTAAAGACACGTTACAGTAAAAACTGAACATAATCGATATACTTCACTGTGAAACAATACCATTTTCAAAATTATTTTTAAGCCAAAATAGGAGGTATAATTTTCAGGGATCATACCTTGCACATTGGCCCTTAATCTGTATTCTCAATGATATTCTCTATTGCAGTTGTGCAGAACTGCAAGAGTCTTATGCTGTATCTCAGGTGCAGTTAAGGAACGACAATATAACAGCTTTATATCTCAGATTTACATAGTGTTGATTGCTGGTTTTACTTTTTCTTACTGATTGAAATTCATCTGATACCTAATGACTTTTAGTTTTAAGGGACAACAGGAAAAAGATATGGGCTAGCAGTGGGCAGTTTCTGTCTGTGTCACCTTTTTAACACCATTCAACCCTAAAGAGACAGTGCGCTGCAAGGATGATGTTTGATTGTAATGTTGGAAAAACTTCAAAGAGTTCAAGTGGGTGATCTGTACAACAAAAAAAAGGTATTGTTTTCTGTCAGAAGTGCTACGAAACAGGCACTGTAATGGATTTGTTCTTTTCTCTTTTTTGCCCCTCTAAGGGGGGGCAGTCTCCCAGGCCAGTGAGCTTTAAGAGTCCTGAAATACTCTGGAGGTGATCAGGGAAGGGACGGAGTCAGGGAGGCGGCAGTGGGTTTCAGGCGAGGTGCATGCAGGCTCAGGGGTCGGTGGCATTGATGGTGGTTTTGTCACGGGTGGTCATGCCCCGGTACCAGCTGCAATAGCCCTCTTTCTGCTGGATGCAGGAGTAGTGCCGGGACTGGTAGCCGGAATTGCCGAAGTGCGACAGCATGTCCGTCCATAGGCACTCGTTCTTTGAGGTCACGAAGCAAGGCAGGTAGCGGCAGGCCTTAATCTACAATCAGACAGAGGCAAAACCATGAAGCAGGAAACAAAACTGTGTACAAGCAACAACTAGTGTGTTTTCTTTATCTAAATATTTCTGAATCTACTTTACCTTAGTAAAATACACACACATATTTTGAAATGCAGTACCACCCCTGTTTTCTTGACGTGTTTCTCTAATATGATCATTTGGTGAACTTCAGACCTTCATTCTAGAGCAGGCAATTAGCTTAGCTAGCATAATGATTGGAAACGAGGAAACAGTTAGCCTGGCTGTGACCAGAGTTTACGAAAAAAGAACCACCTTTAGCACCTCCAAAGTAATATTTATGAACAAGTTGTATCTTCTTTGTTTAACATATTAACTAGTGAGCTGGTAGTTGACCTATGGACAGATGTTAGTCTTTTTTCCCCCTGCGTAGTCCTTACGCTAGAGTGAGCTAATGGTCCACTGGCTCTAGCTTCAAATTTAGCATACAGACATGAGACTAGCAAAAAAACAAATAAGTGTATTTCCCAAAGTGAAGGACAATCCTTAAATGTTCCTGAATCACATATTGAGCTTCTGTTCTTGTTGAAGCTAACCGTGAGTAAACAGTGTGTCTACTGTCTAGCAGTTTCTGCAGTCGAATTACCTTAATGAGACATTATCGTAGAAGAAGAATTATAATGTGTCAAAAGAGTTTGGATCATTGAGGGAAGGAAGTGAAATAGTAAATGGTAAACATGCATTTAAAATGTGAAATGTGAAATCTTTTTTGCTTTTCATCTTCTTTTGCTTTCAGTCATTTCCTGCAGCAGATTAATAGCTCAGGTGTAGAAAGGCAGTTATTGAAATAACTAATAAAAAACCAGTAAGTACACACTCTGCTGTGAAATGTTTAATGAACATGAGCCGGCTTCCTGAAGCACTGATCTTTCTTAATGATTCAGTTAGATTTAACTGAGCCTCTTTCGTGCGTCACTAATCCAGGTGCTCACACAAAAAGCAGCTTTACGGATGAATATGCAGCATGAACTGACAGGAAGATCCACTTCACTACTCAGAGAGGTGATGAACGGAAACCATGTGTTTAGTGACAGCAGAGTGGAGTCATCGGCTGCTGAGAGCTGCACTTATCTGGATATGAATGCAACAACAGTTTCAATTAGAAAGTTAGAGGGCACACTTCCCATTTAGGATGTTTTTGTTATTCAGACCTGAGGAGTCCGTCCTCCACGGTTCAGAGATGTTCGACATCACTTCCTAGTTTGAGTGGTTTTAATGATCTGTGGAGAATCATTTTCTAACCCCAGCGGCACACTTCCTGCTTTCCAGTGCAGTAAATCATCATTTGTGGAGGAATGAGGAAGACGGCCGAGTGCGTTTAGTTAAGTGTGATGACGTTTATGCCTGCCTGTGGATACGGACTCTCACACTGACGTCTCAGTTTATTGATGGCCTTCTCTGGATGCCTCTGGGCTGCTGCCATGTGCACACTGAACATAGTTTACAGGCGCTGGCTCGAACTGGGAACAAACAGGTCTCTCTGCTAATCCACTTATACTGATAGGGGCCGATGGTGTAAGCAGATGTCCAAGACACTGCTGTACAGTAGGACTGTACCAGGCGGGTCAGCAGCTGCACAGCGGCAGGCTACATGAACTGGGAATGAAGACTTGAGCCGATTCCAGAGCTGTTACTTAATAACTCTTGTTTTCTCTCCATGTCTGTCTCTGGTGGACATCATGATGGATATTAGTGGAAATTAGGCTCTTAAGATGAGCTCATCATTCAAAGTCAATAATACTGCACAACATTCCGTGCACAACGAACCATGAAGGCTGTTTTTAGTCTCAATTTGTTGGCTTCTAGTGGTTAAACAGTAGCATTAATGAGCCTGTATTAGGTTGACCCTTCACATACAGAGGCACCGAGAATATTAAAGTATTTTCCCTTCTCCTCTTATCAGTAATAAACACTGGAGCAGACTTTATGTAAGCAGCTTCAGGTTTACTTTGAGTACTCTAGCTCCTCCTTCTCTTGATCCCTTTCCTGCCTCCTCCTCCCTCATCTGTCCTGTCCTTGCTGGGCAGAGGTTACTGGTTTCCACTCACCCTGCAGTTGCAGCCCAGCTGGTAGCGATGGTTGATGCCTTTCTTCTGGGCCAATGAGAGTCGGTCCCACTGCTCGTTGAAGTTGCACAGACCGGTGTAGACCTTGTCGTTGTACACTCGACCTGAGGAAGCAAACGAGGGAAGCGGTCGTTTGAGAAGCTGAATGTATGAGCTTCAGAACGTTTGCCTTTGAAAACATTTTTCAAGTATAAAAAGGTCAGGGGATCAACAGAGTGAGTAGGATTCATTCTCTGGGGACCATGAACGTGATTGCCATGAACTTCGTGGCAATCTATCCAGTAGTTGCTGAGATATTTCACTCTGGAACAGAGTGGTGGATAATAGCATGAGAACCTGCACCAAACAACGAGACCATGATTGCACTCATGCTATTTCATTATTTGTCTAATTTCATGATCCTCTATATGTAACATAGGATAATATAAACACACACTTGTTTATTTATGGTAAGACAATCTCGTCAGTAAGCTCATATTATACCAACACCCCTATTTCTGAATATCTAAAAGGTCAGCAGACGTCTATTTTTAGCGCTGAACGGTTTGCGGCTTACAGTCTCCTGAGACAGGTGCACCACGACGGCCCGAGAGCGCTCAGGAACATCATGATTTGTCACCATGTGTCTCCTTTACTGTGTTGTCACCACGCAGGAATTTGACAGCTCACAAATATGTGTTTCTTCGATGTGCTCACCAACCCTCCCTTTCAGCCCACATCCCCGCACTGGGATTACTGGAGTCACTTGCAGGCTTATTACATGGTGTTGAGTGTGTGACATGCTCCTAAAATACTAATCATGGCTGCAGCACTCAGAGCTTGATCAAAGGAGACTCGAGGAGCTCATTTCACAGGCCCCGGTGTTTTTAAATTGCTCCTAATGCAGTCCTGATCATATGCAGGACTTATTATAGACGCCCTGAGAGCAGCGAAAGACGTGGGTGATGTCACTGGCACCCGGGCTGCGTAAACATAGCCGTGGCTGCTTGGCAACGCCGGCTCGTACGCTTGGGCTGTGGGGTGTAGTTGCAGTATTTACAGGTCGGGACTTAGCGACAGCACCGCAGGGTCCAAAGTAAACTGCACCTCTGTTGGAAATAGCAACTCATAAAATGCTTCTGCTGGAAAACGCCAGTCGCTTCCTGCTGGCTGTTAATTACAAGCTGTGAGGGAGAAAAAAACTGCTTTCTGCTGTTTGTGGCTGGAGAAGCTGAGGGGAATGAGTGCAAGTTTTTTTTTTTTTTTTTTTTTTTAAAGGCCCCTCCTTTTCCTAACATAGCCGTGGCTGCTTGGCAACGCCGGCTCGTACGCTTGGGCTGTGGGGTGTAGTTGCAGTATTTACAGGTCGGGACTTAGCGACAGCACCGCAGGGTCCAAAGTAAACTGCACCTCTGTTGGAAATAGCAACTCATAAAATGCTTCTGCTGGAAAACGCCAGTCGCTTCCTGCTGGCTGTTAATTACAAGCTGTGAGGGAGAAAAAAACTGCTTTCTGCTGTTTGGGGCTGGGGAAGCTGAGGGAAATGAGGGCAAGTTTTTTTTTTTTTTTTTTATTTAAAGGCCCCTGCTTTGCCTCTTTGCACAGTGGCAAATGGTAGGTTATAAATAGTGGGAAAGTTTGTGTCACAGGACAAGTGAAGAACTCCTTGGGGAGGAGGGGAGCAGGGGGAGAGAAGGTTACACCTACAACAATACGTAATGCAAGACTCGGAGAAGCGTTCAGCATCTCTCTGACTAAAATTATTTTTTTATCTTGGAGATAAAAGTTACATTTGCAGTTGGCTTTTCAAAATAAGATGTGGTGGATCCACAAAGGGGAACAGTTATTTAGTATTAAGCTGGAGCAGCAGAGGCCGATATATTCTGACTTTTAGTCCGGAATGGGTCAAGCTCCAAAAACAAGGGATCCCACCCTTCCCATTAAGCAGTTAAACCCTCCCTGCAGGGTAAATGTCCACATCTTTCAAACTCCAAGGGATTTATGTAAATGAACTCTGATGAAAAACAAAGACCGTCAGCTTACCTGTGATCAGGTATTGGTACTTGTTGATGTCAAACTTGACGCCGCACGAACTCTCAGAGGCGCTTGTGTAAATGTGCTGCACGTGCTGGACTTTGTCGAATCCTTTGTACATCTGTAAGACATGAGAACCAAAAATGGAGTTAGGACCTGAAAGAAATAAACGTGCCCCCCACCCTCACCCTGGCACTGCACCCTTAACTCAACCTCACACATAAATAATGAGAAATGAAAACAGTGCGCTGACTTTATCAGATGACATTCCTGAAGGAATGCCTCGAGGGAGAAAGGGTATTAGACTCTGCCCTTAACTAAATCATAGATAACATGATTACGTTGTGTAATGTGCTTCGACTTTGATGCTGTTTGGGCAAGGTCATTGCTAGACCATGGACTTCAGCTCCTTCTTGTCAGCTCAGGTATGCAAAGCCAGAAGTCTTTTCAATTTGCCCTGAGAACTGTTGTTTTTTTCAGTGTAATTTATTTGTCTGGGAACAACAGGAAATCCCTGTTTAGACGCGTCGCTCCCAGAAAAGCAGAACAAACTGTTACTTAAGCCGAAAACTGTGGAGGTTTGGGAAAGCCAAAGGCATTTGTCTCATAGGATTTGTTGAAATTTGGAGGGAATTGTATTCTTTGTCAGCCCCCACAAGGAAAACCACTGTTTCCAGTATAAACCATCAGACTGCAAATCAAACAAATAACCCAAGAGGTACAAAGGTCACATCTAACTCCTGAGGATAATCCTTACAGTGATGATTGGTGTGCTTCACGAACAAGAGGCCACTTAATGCCTTTATTTCAAATTGGGATTGTATTGATGCGGTGCATGACTGTGTTGAAGTGTTTACACTCGGAGCACAGAGTTTGTTTGAGCTGTAATGCCTGTAAGCCTGCTAATCCTCCGGCCTGGCTCCTGTCTGAGCAGCGGGCCCATGTCAGCATCTGTCAGAAATATGCAGCGTTATGTAAGAATATAGAGGAAGTGAAGAATGGGCTCTCAGGCTGAGTATACCGAACTGCTTTTCACCTATCGCGCGGTGGCTGAGGGGATGGATAGACAGCAGCTAAAGGGTTTCTGCAACATCTGAGATGTGAGATTTTATTTGCCCGCACTTTCAGATAGGAGACCGCAGAGTAAAAATAAGTTGGTTTCTAATTTAATGTTAATGTCAGAATCATGGGTTATGACGTAGCAACTCTACCTGAACATGTTCAATCACTTTTCAGAAATAAAATCAAATACAAGCAATTATAAAAACCAAACCAAAATAAAGTTAGCCAAGGTAACTAACAAGCTAACAAATCCAATTGACAAGCATGTTCATTCCTCCAATAACAGCAGCGTTTCTTCATTGCTTCCTGTCAAGTGATGATCACTTGGATTAGTGTGATTAATCAAAAACGAACAACATCCCATGTTTTTCATGTGCACAGAGCATGAAAAACATGGCATCCCAAAATGGCAGTGGGAGCTTTAAGCACAAAAAGTTAAAACTTGTTAAGTTCCATCTAATACAAACCCACTGCCTTCTCTTAATCCCTCTACTGTATTAGAGCCAAAAGAATAGCTCTACATTTTGTAGGCTACACTTGTTTGATTGATACCACTCTCATGTCTGTGTGTGACGTGTGGAGCTAGAGCCAGGGGGGCAAGTATCTTAGTTTAGTATAAAGACCTGCAGAGGGGGAGACAGCTCACCTGGCTCTGTCAGGTTAAAAAAATTCATCCATAGCACCTCTAAATTACTTATTTTTTGAATTACTTAAGTTATTTATTGTTTGTATACCCTCACTAGCTCTTGCTTCATAAGTAGCTAACAGACATGAGTGTTATTGGTATCCATCTTCTTCTCTAACTCTCGGTAAGCAAGGGAGTAAATATGTTTCCTTACATGTCGTACATTTCATTTAAAGCTGAAATAGATTCAGTGTCTTGCGTGAGGATTGGCGCTCTCACCTTCATTTGCTTGACTGTGTAGCGCATCGTTCCAAAAGGCCCATCCCTCAGGAGCTTCTTCCCCACCACTTTAGCTCGGATCACTGTGAAGAGAGGAGACAGACGGGTCAACCGCAGAACAAACTGTCACATACCTTTAACACATATCCCTGAGCTTTCCTCTCCAAACCAACAAATAACACGCTGCCTAGGCCAGTAGTAAGCATTAGCAAACCCCCCTGATAAATACCATTTCAGCACCAGGTTGGCACCACAGTTAATCCGTTTATCTGATTTTCTGCATTGCTGCTGTTTGCCAAGGAGGGTCAATGGGGAAAAAAAACACTAAAGGCCCTTTTGAGTTTGATACACAAATGTGAGGAAAAGAATAAGAGGCCTCATCTGTACCATTGAAAATCAAGATTGTTGTGGACGGCTGCTCATATCTGCTCCAAGATGAAACAATCGCAGGAAACTTCACGTTCAGTTTTTATAGCTTGGTTTGGATTTTGTAGGTTTAATATTCACATCAGAGTTGGAAAAACGTGACTCTAGTCAGTTTTCTGCTCATTGAAAAAACACCAGAATGAAGTTGTTCGAAGGAAAAAGGTGCAGTGTGTCTCCTCTGTTTTAACAGGCGTCCCTCTATATTAGGATCGGGGCTTAAAAAAGATCTTATCTGCGTGCAGGGCCCTCATGTAAACGCTGGTGAGGTGAAAATGCTCGGTGGTGACTTTGATTTGTTTGCTTTCACTCATGGTGGAGTAAGGGGGCTTATTGTGGAAAGCCAGCAGCGGGGAGAAACGAGTGATAATTTGAGTCAGTGAATAGAGTCTAACCAGACCTGCGGGCCCTGCATAAGCAGTCAATCTTCTGTGAAGTTCACCTGCTGCCCACAGCCAACCAGCCACAGACACAACTAACACTGGCTGTGTTTGTTATCTTCTCCTGGTGGAATTTCCTTCCCACATTCTTTGGGGGCTAACATTCCCCCAGAAAGGAAAAAAAAAATGAGAAGCCTTTCATTCTTTTCACCTGGAGAGAGAGTGTGGCATCTTCTGTTTGGTCTGTATTTGTCTAGCTGTCCTGTACAGGCAAATGGAAATGGGCATAAAGATAAAACTCAAACAGGAAGCAGTTACAGCATGACCACCCAAAAGGGGTGACCACAACTTTATTTTGGACATGAAGACCCTGAAATTCTAAATATAATCCCCAAATTCTTATTTTTAACCAGGGTGGAGAAATTAAAGAGATGTGGCCATCCGGCAGCTTACTGAGAGAATACAGTGCTCACTATTTGTCAGGAATAGAAGTGCAAAGTGCTAGCAGCTCCCTCAGGCTGTACTTAGGTATAGTGGTACTTTGTGCTAAATGCTAACATGCTCACAATGACAATGCTAACATGCCCATTGTTTAGCTGGTAATGTTTACCATGATCACCATCTTAGTTAAGCATGTTAGCAAACAAATGTTAGCTAATTAGCACTGAACATAAAGTGCAGCTATATTAGACAAATTGAAATTTAGACCTGATGGCAGTGCTAGATGAAAGGTCAGGAGATCACCAGTCATTGGGGTTTAACCTCTGGGGACCATGGATATTTGTAATATTTTCAGTGGTAATCTATGGAGTAGTAGTTAAGATATTTCAGTTTGAACCAAAGCAATGGCCTGACTGGACAACATCCATGCCTAGAGCTTCACCATTAGCATGGCTAAAATCCCTGTCGTATGTATTAATAACTCATGTTTCACTGGTGTTCTTGTTCTATCTGTAGTAATCTGTCCAATCCAATAACTGTGAGTCCACATTAGCTTTTCACTGGAAAAAAAAAGCTTAGGCACTGAAAGGGAGAGGAACGTCAAAACTACCATGTAGTTTAGGATTAGGCAACGTGGGTTTTATATTAATATATTCAAATTTAAACTACAGTTTTTCAGTAATGTTCCCATGGTAAATGCTGCTTTTGAGCCTCAATCCTCCATTTGAAATGCAGCACTAGAGAACTTCAAAATGGAAAAAGCTTTCAAACTGCACATGAAGTAACACAGTCCTTTTGGTATTAATGTCCTGTACTGCCTCCCTGCCTGCCCTCCCCTTTCTGACCTTTCACAATAACTTGCTGCAGAATATTCGATCCATTAATCTGTCATCTCTGTTAATATAAGCCCAAGAGCACTATTACCTGATAGACCTTTGCTAAATGTACCCAAATGCTGTTTGACAGATTTTTGCCGATGCAGTTACAGAGGAACTGGGGCAAATTTACAAAGGAATGTGTGGACATAGCAAGATACTTTAAATGCTCTGCTAAATACACTTCTGCCCTTATTTGAAAGTGTCACCCCAAAACATAGTTTCCTACTCTGCCCTGACCTCAAAACCAGCCCTCAGGAGAAACAAATATTCATGTTTGAAGGGCCACAGGTCAGCTGATTTAACTGAAGTACATCCAGATAGGACCCCTCTTGTTGGACGGCAGCCACTAATTGGCCAGTGATGGTGCCATCACCCAGAGGAATGTGTGAAGGGCCTCAGCTGTTCCGGAGACAGAGGATTTGTGTCATTCCCCCACAGTGACCCCTTGGCCTCCTCTTCATTCAGCAGTTATATTTACATACAACCACATGGCTGCCTGCTCACGTCAAAAAGTCACATTACAAGTGTTTATTTAACCCAGTTTAATAATGTGATCTCAGATCACCTTGGTACAACTAACTATGGACACACAACTATGGACTCTTGTTTCTTCAGTTTATTCTACCTTCTAAACTCCTCTGTACGTAGAACGTGTACTTAAACTACCTGTACAAGTACATGTGTGTGTGTCCACTTCTCATATGGATTTATGTTCACCAATTTCTGCTTTAAGCTTTCACACCACAGGATTTTCTACAGAGATTATAATTCAAACACATTTTTGCAGGGTCTTGTTACATAAATTTACATATTAATACAGAAAAAAATTCATCAGTTTGACACTGCTGGAACTGTTTGGTACTTCACAATACCATTTGTATGGTGACATACAACTTTTGTATATTTATCATACTGATTAATAACCTAATTTACACAACTATAATAGTTAGTGTTGATCCATAAGAAGATATATTTGTGGTTTTAAGAACCAAAAACCATCTCAGTGTAGTTTTACATTTCCTCTCTCAGGCTTCTCTCTGGAGCTCTAGTAACAATAGATCTGTGAGCCAATCAGAAGAGAAGCTCTGTTGGATGGTGGGTCCAGGTGGGTGGGGCTTGGGGCATAGCTGAGGGCAGCGACTGTATAGTTGTGACATCACTAAGTTACAGAAGTTTTGATGGCTCGTTTTAAGGCTCAGTTTCTGAATACAGGCTGTGTGCATTTCTCTGTGGACTGAGCGCTTTGATACTTTCATAGTGTTAATATAGAACCTAGACCTGCTTTATAATCAAACAACACATGGACATCTACCTTTAAACATTATGGGACCTTTAATATGGCAGGGCCAATTCAGATACTATATATTGTAAAATTGAACTGAAATTTGGAAACTCCTCACAAAGTCAGGAAAGCCTATGACCATTGGTACAAGACCTTATATTTCCCTCTTTTCAACAAGCTCATATAGCAACAGCTATCAACCAGTACCATAGCTCTCAGCCATCTATCTCTTTAGAGCATTCAGTGTTTGGGAAGATCATAAGTTCAGAAAGTGTAAGTTTGCAAACTAGGCTAACTAACCTCTACCTGCACAATGGAACCTAGGTAGCCTAGCTAACAGTACTTCTGTTCCTATTAGTTTTTTTTTTTTTTACATCATTGTTGCTTAGTTTGCTTTTAACCAAATAAGAACAAAAGTTAAAAGAAACAGCAAGGATAGTCTGTATATACATATAGACTTTAAGCCTTTTACAATCTGGCTAAATGTTAACAGTGAAGGTAATATATGCGTCATGTGGCCCGGTCAATAACCCAGAAGTTAATACAGTTGTCTGTCAGCTACTTTATACTGTAATGTAAGAGTCCCTCTTCCTTTGCTAAACATGAGGAATTACAGGCTGGTGCTGTGACGCACAAGGATTCATCTTCTGCAGAGGATCTGACATATATTTTCAAGAGTGGGAGGCTTTTCGTAATAAGAGAGGTAACCAGGGTCTAACAAAAGAGAAGAAGTGAATCCATTTTTCCCTCAGTATATCTCGCCTAAAGCAGGGGATTACACAAGCATGAATGCAAATGCTAAATCTTAAGGTGAGCATGTAATTTAGTCAAACATTTATTTCAGCCTACGTACAATGTGGCAAACTGCAGGCATGACAAGAATAAGGTGACTCATTTTTGTGTGTGTGTGTCTGTGTGTGTGTGTGTGTGTGTGTGTGTGTGTGTGTGTGTGTGTGTGTGTGTGTGTGTGTGTCTGTGTTTGTGAGGGAGAGGAAGAAAGCGAGGCACAAGGCGAGTGACGGTGATTTTAGTATGCAGAAAGTGGTCCAAGTTTGAGGAGGCGAGTGGGAGGAAGAGGAATTCTCAGGACGACACACTACCACGCTCAAAAATAAACACTGAAACTGAATCCCTGCTGTAGAGCTTTGTGTCAGATGGAAAATGCCGGAGCTCAAAGTCCATAACGTCCACTTACTGTTGGTGAAATGCAAAGGCAGCTAATGAAGCATGAAGCCAGTTCTCATCACTATATCTGATATTGTGGTGGTCTGATTGTGGCACAACAGGGAGCGTTTTGAGTCAAATACAACAGTGTTCATATCACTGATTGATTTACATTGACCATAAGATTTTAACAAAACAGATTTAAAATGACCAAGTGACAAACAATGAATATGTTGCAGTGTAGAAGTACACCAACTAGAGACAAATTAATAAGGTTAGCAAACTGACTCAGTAATATCAGTCACACAAATATGTAGCTAAAGGTTGCTAATGTGAGCTAGAAGTAGCCACCATAAGCTACTGGTCATTCCAGACCAAGTAAGGCCGTAGATAGAGTTCAGTCACCATTTCTGATGTGGTGATTGAAAAAACTGATAAGACTTCTTTTTCAGTTTTCAACAAGACGACAAATTTTCTTTCCACTCGATGTTTCTGTTGGACTGAGGCATGGGAACCTTTAACCAACTACTCATTTAAGTTCAAGTGTCATGCTAGCTGACCTCAAAAACGCCACTTGTCAAAGCCAAAATTGGTGCCTTTAGTAGGCTTTGACCAAAGTATTTACAATAAATTGCTTCACAGGAAACCTTGTGTTCTAATTAGTGAGTGTACATGAATGCACAACCAACACCTGAGGCTCTGTGGGTTAGCCCAGCGTTATCTGTGCTTCCTTTGTGCCTCCTTTTCATTTCTTTCTCTTTATATCTTTGTCTTCCTCACTCACTCTGCTGTGTCTCATGCTCACTACCTGCGTAAATATCATTGGTAACGAACGAAATCACCGTCTGTGGTAGGATTTCTGCTCGGATTATTCAAATGTACCGCTCTCTATTAATGCTATTGTAAACAGCTGACTAGAGTTTTTGACAATTACAGGCCACCATAGATAAAAGATATATTCTCTTACTTTTGTTGTACAGTCATAGACTACTCAAAAACACAATTAAAAGCTGAAGGCGATTAAATCATTGGTTTGTAGTTTATTAGTCATTGTATTTTCATGAGTGTGTGCTGGGCAGTTGTCCATCGCCCCTGTGCTGGCCTCCTGTTTAAAACAGTGAATCCCGTAGCGGCTGTGTGGTCATCAGAGAGGGGAGGGATGGGTTGGAGATCTGATCCGCCTGGCTCAGGGGACAAACATCCAGAGCTTGAACAGAATCCAGACCCTTTGACATCTCATCATATTTTAACTCACTTTTAGGAAAACTAAAGATATCTGATCCAAGCTTACATAATGCATCTGGTAACAGGAGTCCTGGCTTTGCTCAGGTTGTCATCAGTCACCTGCTGACCTGCACATGAGCAGCGAGAGAGCGGCTGACAGAGGGAGTACTGATTGGACTACATAACTCATTAATAGGAGGAGGCGGATGTATTGGTACCAGGAGAGCACCGCCACAGAGCTGAAGGCCATGCATTGCTCTAAACCTGCTGTGCTGCGCTCGTTTGACAAAGCTCCTCTATGCGCAACAAAACACCCACGGCAGGACAGGACCCGTTTCTCTCAATGGCCTGATCCTCAATCCCAAACCAAGCAGAAACATATCAAACTAATCCTCAGCAACTGACCTGGTTCACGGTGCAAGTAGTAAAGGTTTGCTCCTGTCACCCCGAGCGCTTGGGAACAAGCGTCGTTCTGGGGCGATATTAAATCTCAAGCTCAAAGTTTACTGCAGGGCCTCTAATCTTGCCTTCGAAGAGCTTTGGAAAAACAAGCGCTGCTCATTTCCCCTTGTGAATGAGCTGCTTTAACCCAGATGCCTAATAGCAGCCTGCACGAGAAAGCAGTGCCTGGTGCTCAGGTATGTGTCAGGGAAAACTGATAGGATAGGTCTAACTTGATCAGAACAGAGTTTACTGTGGAGGAGTTCACACAGAAATGACAGTTAATCAACATGTACTCAAATGGTAACCAAGAACATGACTCAAATCCATCCCAGATCTCTTAGCGTTAACTAGAAACTACAGCTGTCTGTTCTCAAAGCACTTTCACACTTAAATATTCAAATTTAAATGTCTTAAATAAAGAGAGACAGACTCCAGTCCATTTTCCAACCCCTTGAACCTCATTGTGATTCATCCAGTGTAATGCCTGCGGGTGATTATGGGTCAGGGCCAAGAAAACACGGGCTAAACACTTTGAACTCGACAACGGGTTTTAAATGGGAAGATTCAGGCCTGTCGCCTTTGATGTCGACGGTGAGAATTAAAGGGTTTCTCCCTCGCCGCTTTAGCTTTTCAACCCCATCCTTTTTTGTTTTCCACATCCTCATGCTCTATCTGGGCTCAGCGACACACGCAGAAGTGCAGCTTTAAGGTAGAAAAAGACCTTAAATTAAAGAATGAATGAGATTTTTAACACATTTGTGACACCTGAGGTTTAACATGTGAAGGATAGCATCAGCCTGACGACGCGGGGAAGTGTAACCGCTAAGGCTGGATCATATCAAACTGTTTGGGCTTCCTATGTAAAATCCGGACTTTGTTAAAGCCAGTTTTTAAAAAGTACAGAATTCATGATTATCCTAACTTAATGTGCAATAAGACTAAATCTGACTCAGGTTAAAGACTGTTGCTGGCGGTGACCTTTGTGCATCCAGCTGCTGCTGTAGAAGTGTTTCTGAGGTATAAGAGGGGCCGCAAGCATTCAAAGCACACTTCGAGCTAAGCCGAGACCTTGGAAATGGGATTTATGGGGCTCACAACTGATCACTGCGCCCATTGAAGTCAGTCCCAGATTTTACACTGTGGGTGCCAACGCCATGAGCTATCTGAAGATCTGAAGGACTATGAAATGCATCGCATGAGTGTTTGTGCAAGCGGCATTTTCACCCAGTCCAACCGGGTCACTTGGCTGAAGACGCACTCGCAGGACTAGTGATCAGGGGTTACTGAGAGACACAGAGAGGCCGCTTTGGGTCCTTAAAGTCAGAATATCTGGGTCCTGCTTTAGGGGCTTCCTCCGTCCTGTGAAGGTCTAAACCTGCACCTACTCCTCTCTGAAGCTCTGCAAAGGATTCCCAAAAGTAAAAGAAGTAACTTACACCTTCAAAGATGTGCTCATTGTGTCCTTGAAACTGGACACTGCTAATTAAATGACATGTTAAAGGCTTGTTGTGTCCGTTATGTTAAGTATTTCCTGTGACGAAGTGATAGTTGACAACTGTAAATCAAACTGGAGACCAGTTTGATAGGTTTTATGTCATGGAAGGATGATGGGACAAGACTGCTGAGATATATTCAAGCTACATTATTGTTTATTAAGGGTTTACATTTGTGCTTTCATACGATATGAGGACATAATTAAAGGAACAGTTTAAGATTTTGGGAAATACACTTATTCACTTTCTTGCCGAGAATTTTTTTCCCCCATTTCCCGTCTTTATGCTAAGCTAAGCTGACTGACTGTAGTTTCATATTTACCGCAGAGATGAGATTGGTCTCAGTTTTCCATCTGAGGAATTAAATTTGAACAAAAACTACAAAAAAATATTTCTAGTTGTGGTTTTGTATTTAACATAAAGTCTTAAGGCATTTATCACTATCAGCCTCTAGTGGTGAAGAGTAGTTAATACAACATGATTAAAAGTGACTGATCTGTGTGTGGTGGTGGGGCGGGGGGGGGGGGGGTGTCGCTGCAGAAACTAGGACTTCCCTTGTATCACATTAGTTGACACTGGATGACAGGGCGAACACATGGGCTACACACATGCCTGCTGCAGTGTGTGTGTGTGTGCGTGCGTGCGTGCGTGCGTGCGTGCGTGCGTGCGTGCGTGCGTGTGTGTGTTCAGTGTAGACTGAGAGATTATTGTTCGATTATGTGTTCTGGCTTTAGAGAGCCGCATGATGGTTTCACATTTTTGGGTCAAATGTTACTGAAGCAAAATATCAGCTGCACTGAAAAACACTCGTATCTGCTGCCTTTGCAAATGAGAGCGTGTGTGTGTGTGTGTGTTCCTCTGCTGTTACCCCACACAAAGTTCCCTCTCTCTGCCCTCCTGTCCACACTTCAACCCAAAACCCCCTGAAACCTAAGAACCCCCCCCCCTGCTCACAGATCACATAATCTTCAGGTTTTTTCCAGTGTTATCTAAATACACAGGTCAGGTTGAGCTTCACGTTCCAGCCTGATCCAGATCCCCAGCTCATATTATTCTAGGGAGTCAGACAAAAAACATAAGCAGGCAGTAAAACAAGCTAAGTGAAGACTGGGCATATCAGAGTTACAGCCAGGTGGCTGTCTGACAGAGAAAAACTAGACAGAAAAGACAGAGAAATACACAGAATTTCAAACATCTACGCTGAGAGTGGATCATATTATCAACTGGTGTCAATTCACACGACTTGCTCATTCATGGAGTTTTAGGAAGTTGAAAGTGTTGTGCCATATTAAAAGGCATCACAGGCAAAAGCTCAACGTTGTACCATGCCGAGTTATTAATCCACAGAGAGAGAACCTGATGATCAGAGGGTAAAGAGGTTGTGGAGGTGACTAAAGGTGACATGCTTCACTGACCAGTGAGACCTCACCTTGCTCTACAGCCACAACTCTGCACTACACTGAGTGTTTCCCACATTTAAACAGACTCACTATGACGTGAATCAAATTAATATGCAGGTGATTCTCAAACCGCTTCAACAGTTTGAGTCATTTGAAGATAAAAATCAAAGAAATGTCAATTTAACCAACATCAGTGTTGACCTTCTCTGACCAAACACTGAGTTTGTTATCTTACAAGATATTTATGTTACATAGAGAAAAGAACACCTGACTCTTAGTATTTGTGCTCTGGAGATAACCATAGTAAATTATAACTGTATTCTGACATTTACACATGTAAACAGAAGATCTGAACCGGTATTTATTATGTTTCAAACTGGCTCAACTCATAGAGAGATTTGGCTATAACCTGAGTACTGATCTCGTGTCAGTCCTCCCTGACGGACGGGCAACACTGTTATCCCAACACCTGGGTCCAGAGGTTAAAGATGAACACAGGCAGTAAACGTCACTCACCGATCTCGGAGTTGCAGAAAGCGTCTTGCGGGTGCGACAGAGCGCACGAGCAGCCCTCCGTCAGCTGTCGAACGTGCAGGCTGCTGAAGACAAACAGCAGGCTGATGAGGTGCTGGTACACTGACTGCATGTCTCCAAACTTCCCCACTCCTATCTGCTGCTGCTGGAATAAACTGTATGGAGTCCTGCTGGGTCCGGCTGCTGTAGTAGCAGTAGTAGTGGCAGTAGTAGTAGTACTGGTGGTGGTGGTGGTGGTGGTGGTGGTGGTCGTGTCTGTGTATAATGTCCAAGTCTCTGCTCTCCTTCTTGTCGCTGTTGCCTCTCGCCTCGCTTCAGCGTCTCCCCTGGTCCCGGGCAGACGCACAGCCGTACATATAGCGCGCCGGAGCCACGTTCACGCCCCTCTCCGTTTCTGCAGCGCGCGCACGGGGTGGCCAATCAGCGGCCGGCGATGCCCCTCAGTAATAACAGACATGACTTACTGGAACTTTACCCTGCTTCGTCTTCATTTCCTGAAAAAAAGAAAAACTCTGTATTTCCAAGGTCTGCAGACACATTAAAGCGTTTGATTTCCCTACACAGAAGAAAAGTGACAGCAACAGAAAGACTGAATAATGTTTATGAGACTGGTTTGACAGAGCAAACTTAAAGAATGTACAGAATTATATATTTTTTAAAGCTTTAGCTAGCAAATATTTCCACAATAGATTGATCTGCTAATTATTTTCCTGAATAATCCATTAATTATTTGGTCTATAAAATGCTGGAAAATAGTGACAAATACCCAACACACTTCCCTAAAGCCTAATATCACATCTTCAGATCGTCTGTTCTGTCTGAGCAACAATCCAAAACACAAATGCTACCTTTCACATAAAACAAAACAAAAATAAAATAAAAAAAAGGTAAAACCTCATGAAGTGACTTAAAGAATTAATTGATTCATTCAAAGTTGCAGATGAAATGAAATTTCTGTCAATCAGCTAGTTGGTTAATTGACTAATGATGTCAGCTGTAATACATTTTAAACCCTGGAAACACATTTTCCTTCTAACTACAAGCAACATAATTCAAAAGATTGGCTGATTTATTCTTTTAATTTGTTAAAGAAATTTTCTCCTTTCTCACTTCCCTCCCAGGAGTCTCGCTTAGTCATCCTTTCCACCCCCTGACGCCCCCTTAATTAGTAATACTTACCAAATTCCTTCAGTCTGCTGCAACAATGAAGGAGGTGAAGGCAAATGAAGGCTTAGGTTTTCTATTAGACATTTGTTGTTATATGTGTAAGCAGATTTGATGTTTAAGACATGTTGGTGCTACCTGTGGCTGCTCACAGGATGTGGCAGCACTTACTGCTTCATTTAGCCTGATTTCATTATGAAATGGCTTCACTCATGTCACTTGCAGGGCACTGTCAGTCACTTTAGCCAATTAAAGTCTCTCTTCCATCCTTCCTGACTGTGTCCATGGACCTGAGTGGAGCTGCGTTATCGCTGCAGAGGCTTATCTGCACAGACTGACGGAGCTATGTTAAGACTTTGCTTCTACTGACAGTTATATAACTGAGCCAGAAATAATCAGGTTGGGGAACTCTGACCCTGAATGTGCCTTCATTAACAGTTATCTCAGTTCAAAGAGCCTGTATGGTTTATTTTATATGTAGCACGGCACTGATAAGCTTATACTTCCAATTTCTGTTTTAAAAGTGAGTTCAATTTCATAATAACAGATGGAAAAGGTGACTGCTTTTATCATAAATTTGGTATTAAGTTTTAATTTATTGGCCACTTCAATCAAATTATTTTGTCTTTGTTTTACAAATAGAAAGATTAACTTGAGCTAATGCAGTCGTACACCAAAACAGGATGTAATGTTTAGACTAAAATAATAGTTTCCATTCACCTTTCACCCATGACTCAGACCCACATCAAGAATTCATCATTGTGTTTTTGTCCTTTCACTATCACTTAGAAAATAAGCTAGTTTGTTCAGCGGTGCATTCAGGTGTAATACAATCACACATTTCAGTCCAAAAGATTAGAACGACAGGACATGAATCATCATCATCAGCATCATGTTTTATCAGAGGTAAGGTCTAATCTGCAGGTCCAGACTGGGTTGGATGGTTGTAACATCTCCAGCAAACAGAAGGGGAAACACATCAGCTGGACAAGTGTAGTTAAACATTGATAATGCCCAGTCACATGTTATTTCAGCCACCAACCTAAAGTCTGCATCAGCAGGTTTGTGACATTCCTTAGACAGTGGATTGAGGTGTGCAGGACAGAGCTGATGAAAATAGGAAGATTCAGAGACACAGGGAGGCTGGTGAACGGAGTGATTCACTTGGGCAATATTACATATGATTCGCTCATACATTAAGCGCTAAGACAGCCCTGCATTCCTAACATATATCCCAAAGATAACAACTTCAGTCAGGCCAAGAGAAGGAAATTAACCTAATAAGGGAATATATTGATGCATAGGCTGCTTTAAAGGATACGCCTGGTGATGTTCTGTATTTTTCTTGTCAACAAATCCCATGAAAAGACCAAAAACCAACAGTGAATTGATCCAAATTAACAAGTATTATCTGTGTAGCTAAAGTCTGATGTATCTTATTCCTCTGTGCTGTAGACCTCCACTGTAACACATAAATACGCCACACCACATGTTCCTTCATTACAATAAACATTGGCACTGTGTAGGTTTGAGTGGCTCACTAATCAGAAGGTCGGTGGTTCGATCCCCAGCTTCTCCAGTCCACCTCTCAAACTGTCATTGGGCAAAATACTGAGCCCCTAATTGCCTCTGATGGCAGGGCTCAGCAGTGCGGGACTGTGTGTGTGTATGGGTGTGATGTAGGTGTGAGTGAATGGGTAAATGCTAACATTTAGCATTGTCTCTGTAAGCATGTTAGCGTGTTGACGTTAGCATTGGTGCTTAAGTACAACCGCATAAAGCTGCTACCATGGCTGTACACTCTTGTTGGACACAATATCACTTCAGTTATTTCTGACAGAGTGTTGATCCATTAGGTGTTTAATTCATTTTGCGTGTTAAAGAACTACAGATGCACTTGAACTGGAACCATGTTTCTCTCACTTTTCTGTCTGTTTATACTCTGTAATCTGGACAAAAACTTCACCTTGAAGTCACAAACTGAGGTAAAACTGAACAAAAGTGCAATACTTGATCACAAAATATTTATTGGGATGTCTCATCAAGTGTCAAACACTGATTTATGTTTCGGAGTACAAGAAAGTGAATGTTCCTGTAAACGGAGAGCTGCTCACCAAGTGTGTGTGGGATCATTGTGTCTTCTTTGTTTGCAGCTGTCCTCGCAGGACAGTTTAGGCCACAATAATAAGACAGATGAATTCTTCCTTTATGTTTTCAGTCCAACAACGAGGTCAGTATGTTTGAATATTTTAACTGGACCAAAAAAAAATTGTGGGCCACTCATATGCATAACTGCCTGCTCTACTTTAACTCTTCTATCAGAAATGAAACAAGATCAAACGGAAGAAAAGTCTCCAGAATATTGTGGTTGTGTGTGTGATCCAAACAACTGAAAAAAATGTCAGGACCCTCTGGAAATGATGTCACCAAACTAGGCCAACATACTGTAAGTATAATGCAGAGACAAGTGCATTTCATTTGAAAAAGTCCAATTATGGAAAAAGGCCCGTTCTCAGGCCGGGGAGCAGACAACAGCATTGTATAGCGGAGGTCTTTAAGGCCTGCGTGATTCTGGGCTGACAGAAGAGAACAGAGCGGTGACTCAGAGGAAATACCTTTCATCCGACTGACACGCCGCTAAAGAGACACAGGAAGAGGCGAAACTTGAAAAGATAGCACCGCCGGGAGCAACGGTCACCGAGGGAGAATGTCCAGCCTTGACTCACCCGGCCCTGCTGCACAGCCCACATGCCATTCAAGTTAAGTGGGACAGACAGGATAACCCCTGCTCCGCAGATCTGTGCAGTGAGGAGGACGGGTAGTGGAAGTTGTCACAGGAGGAAAACAGTAATTGGATGTTTCCTCGTTGCAAAGAGCATTGACCTCAGTTTTCAGGTCATGAGGAGGATTTGGGAACTTGTGGTTTGGCGACAGATCTCTATCCCACTTCTTGGGTGGCTGCTCCAACAGAAAGGAAACACCTGTAGTCCACTGAATGGAATACTGACCAATATTAATATCTGATTAGGTTCTATTTGATATTACATCATATGATTGTCATCCCAGAGCATTCAGTGAATGTACAATAAAGGCATATAATAATATAAAGGCTGGTATGTAAGAACAAATCACAGCAGGATTTGAGACTCTTTCTCACCAGTGTAATACCTCAAAATTTGGCATTGCTTTTTTTTTCTTTTTTTTTCTTTTTTGGCCACTTATGGACAGCACAACAAGCTGTAAACACAACAGTATTATCGCCTTTCCAAGCTGGCATTAGAGTATTAATTTGAAGCTGTGTGTTCAGCCACTCAACAAATGTCCAATATTCATTCAACTTCTCACTCGTCTTTGGTCTCAACCAACTCCTGTGTGAAATATCTGGCACTTAATCTGCTAAATGCTAACTTTGTCTTCTGTTTGGTGCTGGTCAGGGAGCATAAAGTCACATTATCAGAGCTGCCTGAAGCTGCTGAAAGAGAGGTCAATGAGAGCGGTGAGAGTGAACCAGACCAGTAATCTGAAGTCAAACCAAAACAATGAGCTGAAAGACACTAAAACACTACATAGGACTGAAAAGAATTGCATTCAGGTAGTAATTGTCAGTGGGTTGGATACTATTGGCAACTCCTTTCACGTTACCCATAGTGATTTGAGCCATTGTTAATTTAAAAATATCATTAGAGCAGCTTTAATGTAATTTTACATTTTTATGTTCATAAGGACAAATAATTAAGACAGGGATGACTCTTTTATTGAGTCTAAATCTGATGTTATGTCTTCACACAGTTAAAAACTATTAACTGTGTTAATATTTCTCTTGCTCACTTCATTCAAGCCAATAATTAAAATTTAAAGTCACGCTGGCACACGAGTAGTGGTGGTGTTGGATTGTGACCCTGTTTGTTTACCATACACACCAGTGGACTAGGAGAAGGAAGTGTGAGCCTGTTCACTTCAGAAGTCTCCTTTGTGAATGTTCTAGCCAAGTAACCAAGAAACACTCAGTTAAGAGAAAGCAGCCAAATTCATTTGGTTTGGAGTGACGTGACATTAGGTACTCAATCTTCGCTTTTATCTGAACAGTGAAGGCTGAACTGTAGGAAATGAACTCAAAGCTCAGTATCTGAAAGCCATCAGTACAGTGAGATA